TTATCCTATGATTTCTTTTTATACCTGTCAGTTCCCTGCAAGAAGCCCCTCTACAACAAACGCTGAATATTTAAGCATTCCATGCAAGGAGAAATAGCTCATAAAAAAACTTAGCTTCTGATGGTACAAGTCATGTTGATGAAATTCACACAGTCCATGTGATTAACTGGATCACATGTTGTTTTATTCATTATCAAGTTGATAGAACTGATCAGTCCTGTTATTTCTATAGCGATGTTGCACTTTTAAATATTAATCAGCAATAAATGCATGAAACCAGTAAGCCAGTAAAGCAGGGTTACATTTTTTAAAACTCTGTCTGTCATTAAAAAGCAATGAAAAAAAAACATTTAAAATAATTTCTTGAGGAAATCGCCCTTCCCCAAGAAGACGAATTACATCCAAAATGTCCAGTAAAAGCTAACACCTCTCCTTTCTTCCCCTGGTAATCTGTCACAGAGGACCTGCTCCTCAGTCCACTCTTCACGCCTTTATTAAAGCTTCCCCAGTTCTAACCTCCAACAAAAACTGCTGACACGCAGACTACACATGCCTTTTGATCAAAAATACATGTAGCCCCTACTGTGGTTCAGGAACTGTTTGAAGCACTCAACCTGTACTAAGTCAGCCTAACACCATCCTGTGAGGAAGCCGTAATCATCACGCCCGTTTCTAAAGGGCGCCAGTGCAGGCCATCTTCCGTGGCTCCGTCTCCACTGACTCAAGGTAGCTGCTAGAGGTTCCTCTGTCCCATGCTTTGCTTTCCCGCCTCTGGCTTCCCCCTTTCCCATTTAGTACTTGTCGCTTCGGTCATACCTGGGATATGTTTAAATTATCTCTCCCACCAGTCTAATGTCCATGATCATTTTGCCACTTACCCCTCAGCCACTGCCATACTTCTTACTGTCCTGGACAAACCAAAACACCATGAGGGCATGTGTTGACCTGTGGGACAAAATCAAGTGGTCTAATATAATATATGGATTATGATCAAGGCACACTATATGGTGTTGGAGGACACAGGAAAAAAATCCTTGAATATTGGCTGAAAATTGTTCAGATTTGAAGCAAAGTATAAACCCACAGACCCAAGATGCATAACCAGCATCAATCTGAATAAACACAAAGAAAACTATACCAAGTCACTCTGCAATCACATTCCTGAAAACCAGGTATAAAATGAAAATCTTAAACAATCCATAGAAAAATGATACAGTATGTACAGATGAACAAACGTAACAAAGGTAGCTGATTTAGTCTCAGAAGATAAGCTGTACCACCCAGAAGACAAGAGTGCCAGACCTTCAAAGCAGAGCAAAGAAGAGCTGTCAGTTTTATACCCAGTGAAAATATCTTTCAAAAAAAGTTAAGATTCATGGCCAGCAGATGTACATTGTAAGGAATATTAAAGAGAGGTGTACAGGAGACATAATGATGCAACATAAACTTACCAGGAGGAATGAGGAGCTCCTGACATGGTAAATATGTGACTAAATATATTTTGTATTTTAGCCTCTTTAACAGATGATTGACTATCAAGGTAATTGTTTAAAGTAAAAATGTGTTTTAACGTTTACAACCTATGTGCAACAAAGTATATATACCGACAGCAGCACACAGGACGTGAGGAAAAGTATAGTATAATGTTGTACGTTGTATGTGAGGTACCACTTGACGGGAGGCTGCAGTAAGATACAAAAAAAAGTGTATGATAACCTCAGAGCAACCACTACAATACAGTAACATTAAAAGAGTAAGATTTAAGCAATAAAATTGGATTTTTAAAAAATCATTAATCAAGGTGTCACAAGGTGACAAAAAGGGAAAAAAATGAACAAAAATAGAGAAAAAAAGTGGAAACAAATGGTAAAGTGGTCTGTTTAAGCCTAACCGCATGAATATGTATATGACGATTAAACTGAAATCCCCAACTGAAAGGCAGAACTGTCACTTATAAGCAAGCCCCCCCATATGCAGACTGTTAGGAGATCGACGTCAACAGCCAGAAAAGGATACATAATGCAAAGACTAATCAAAGAAAGCTGGAGCTGTTACATGACTATCAGACAAAAAAGATTTTATAACAAAAGTTATTTTACAAATAGAGGTGGACAAATACGTAATAAAAGGATGCAGCATCCTCAGTACACAGGCACTTCACAGCTTCAGAATACATGGAGCAAAACTTACACATGTGAAAGTGAAGTAGACAGATGTACGGTTCTAGTTGGAGAGGTAATCAGCCTTCTCTCAGTAATTTATAAAACAAGTAGACATCAGTTAATAAGGAAGTGGAAGTTTGATCGACTCTGTTAACTAACCTGACCTAATTGCACTTTTTAAAACATGCCTCCAAAGTCAGCAGAATACACATTCATTTCAACAGCACACGGAACATTCAACCAAGATAGAGTATATTGTGAGTCATTTAAAAAAAAATAGCTTAATATATTAAAAATGTTGGAGATCATACAAAACCTGCTCCCTGACCACAACAGAATTAGACTAGAAACTGATAAAAGCCTGTATAGAGAATCCCCAGGTACACGCACACCAGACAGCGTCCAGATAACCCACACGTCAAAGCAGCTATCACAAGGAACAGGAAGACATTCTGCAGCCAGTGCAAATGGAAGCACAAAAAACACTTCATGAAAGTTTGGCAAATCAGACCCAGCAATTTATGGAAACAATAGCATATTGTGACCAAGACTGGTTTAACGTTTGAAAATCAATGTAATTCACCATATTAACAGACTAAAATTGAAAAACCTCAGGCTTATATCAACAGATGCAGACAAAAACTCAGTCTCAGCTAACTAGATATTAAAGAAAACTTCTGTAGCCCAGGGAAGAGCATCTACAGAAAATTCATAGCTCATTTCTTACTTGATGGGAAACTAAGTGAATTCCTTGCAAGAGCAGGAGCAAGGCAGAATGCCTACTTCTACGCCTGTCTTCTGCACAAACTGCAGTCAAGTTCCAGGCAGTGCAGTGAGGCAAGAGGGGAGAAAAAGCAGGGAGATTAGAAACAGAAATGTCTTTACATGCTGTCATCACCATTGTGACATACGGAGCTACGAGCGCTCATAATTAAGGTAAAAATGTTCCCCAATACAAGGCCAACATTTCAATAGCAGCAATGATCAGAATATAAAACTTTAAAAAATTGTATTATTTACAATAGCATCAAAATGTGAAATACTGCGGAATAAATTTAACAAGATATCGCCAAGATTCTATGCCGAAACTAAAAAACATAGCTGAGAGAAATTATAAAAGACAGAAATGAGACCATGGGTCAGAAGACAGTATTTTTCAGATACACACAGTTATCTGGAGACAATCTATTGAATGAACACAGTTTCAACCAAGAGCCCGACAGACTGAGCAGCTTTTTTTTCTTTCTTCCTTTTTTTTTAAATGTGTGTAGAAATTGATACACTGATTCTAAAGTGTATATGAAATTGCAGGGGGTCTAGAATAGCTGAAATTATTTTTCAAAGGAAGAACAAAGTTGAAGGACTTGTACGTGACTTGAAAACATACTGTTGAGCTTAAGTAATCAAAGTGGAGTGGACCTGGCGACAGGGACAGCAGGGACAGTTCAGTGGAACAGAAGAGGAAGTGCAGACAGGCTGACGCACAGGTGGGCGCGTGAGGCTTGACAGAAATACGAGGAGCGTAAGCAAGAGGTGACCCTCTTCCTCTTCAACACAGACGCCAGGAGGTCGGGACTCAGCCAGCAATGCCACCGCCTGCAGACTAGGTGCGCTTGGGCCTGCTAACCCTCTCGCATTCGCATCTCTGTGATGACCCTATTTCAAGGAGTGGTCCTGGGGTCTGTCGGGAGCACTTACTGATGACAACGTAGAGAGTCCTCCGCAGACCACAGTTACTGTTTGCATTAGTACTGAAGTCAAGCTGAAAGGAATACGTGCATTTTATGAGCATAAGGGACACGAAGCGCTTTGGAAGGCGTGTGGGAGGACACAGCACTCCTCCAGCCCATGTAAGATGAGTACACGTGATCCTCAGAGTTGGAGGGGAGCCCTAACGTGTGCGGACGTCCTCATGTCTAACGGCAGGATTTCTGAAATAGTCACTGACCAAAGTCAACACTTACCTTTTCTACGACTTCACGTGGGTGTTGGCTGGTGAAGATTAAACCTGCTTCTTATCTCTTTGCACAGCTCCTATTCCAGACCGTTGCTTGTTTCTCTGTGTCCCTTAGGATCCTAAGGACAGGAAATGAGCAGTAAACGCTGATGAGATATAGGGCTCCTGGTCACTTCACCCAAGTGAAATGACATATGCAGCCTAGTTAATACTATGAATTAACTGGTACGTTAATTGCCGACTCGTGATGTTGCCGAAACGTGGCCTCCGTACCTGACTTACCGAGCTGAGACTCGAGGACAGGGTTTTGGGTGCAGCAGCAAAGGCAGCTTTATTTCTTGGCCAGGCAGAGGAGGTCACAGAGGGCAAAGCCTCCAAAACCATGAGCCTGCTGGAGAGAGAAGGCAGAGAGTTTTATAGTAAAACTTCAAGAGGTCAAGGGGCAGGGATAGTTTCCAAAGAGATCACATACAAGAATTTTTTTGGGTGAGGGGTAACAAAGTAGATCATCTCGGTATTTGTGAGAAAATAGGTGAGATTATATTCCAGAAAAGACAGTGGTTTAGAAATTGTAACTAACTGTGGACACAGGCCCTGAGGCATCTCTAACATAGATCTGTTTCTTTTCCACCTTTTCAAAAAACCCACCAATTTTATAGGAAGATTCTGTCAGGGAATTTGTTGACACATGTGGGAATTCACACACAAAATGCTTCAAAATTTGTAGCAAGTTTTCATGTGCTTGAATATATGTGTTCTGATTAAAATTCAGACTCTGCCTAATGTAAAGGTTAAAGTGATCTGACACCATGAACAGCTGCAGGGGAACCGCAAGGTTCTCCCATCGGCATCCCCCATTCACTTAGCTGCCAGCCCTCAGACCCGAACGGGACCTGCCTAACCCGGTGACAGCTGGCGCCGCAGCAAACGAGGCGTCCTACCAGAGTTAACTACCCAGGGCACGGATTCGTTTCTTCTCCTTTACCCACTCTCTGAAAGAAATAACAATAATTATAGTAACAGCAACAGAGCACGTTGATGTGAACTTCTCATTTTGAAGTAACTTCAGGTTTCCACACGTTGCACAAGTCCACGTGTCTTTCACCGAAATCCACCCAGTGTTAATATTTTATCAAATTGACTTTGTCATTCGTTCCAATTCTCTGAAATGTTTGTGAGCGAAAGCAAGGCTTCCTCTCCCTTTACCACCCTCTAATTACTGAAATCAGGATCTCAGTACTGATCAAGTCCAGCTACAGGCCTAATTCAAATTCTGTCAGCCGTCGCAGATGCCATCTGTTTTTTTCCCCAGAATCCACGTCAGCCTCACATCGTAGTGGGCTGCCGTCTCTTTAGGAAGAAACAGTCTTTCTGTGTCTTTCATGTCCTTGGTACTTTTGAAGAGCACAGACGGGTTGTTTTTATAGACTGTCCCTCCGTTTGGGTTTGTCTCGTTCTGTCCCGGTGATTAGATTTAGCTGCCCTTTTCTTTTTTTTAAGTGGCAGAAATACTCAGCATGGGCAGTGTCCTCAGTCACATACTCACTGGGGGTCTGTCCCGTTACACGTGGTGTTCAGTTTGAGCTCCAGGTTAAGTGGCGTCTGCCAAACATTTCAGCTGAAAAGCTGCTTATTTTTCTTTTCAAAACTAGTAAGTACTTTGCTGAAATATTTATTGTCTATGTAAACATTCCATTTCCTGTACTATCTTCACGTACAGTTTTATCACCCACTGATAATTCTGCCAGAAACAATTACTGGGGATCTTATCTTCTAAGACCCATTCTGATAAATGTAGTCAAATATCTGGTATTTTTCAAAAAATGGAATTTTTCGAACCTAAGAGTACTCAATCCACTTCTGGTTCTGCACTTTTCAGGAAAAAATAAGTTATCTTCTATATACTTAAAAAGGTTGGGCCAAGTACTAAAATTCTTCAAAGTATTTTTAGCACAAAAATTAAACTGAAACACAAAAATTAGTCATTTTAACTTTGTTTCTATAAACTTAGCATCGATTTTTAAATATGCATTCTTACCCAATATCCGAAAGCAGGTCTGTTTGAGGTGGTTCTGTGGGGTGAGGTGGGAGATGGAGGCAAGGCAAGAGGCTCTTAGGCTTCCTGTAGACAAACAAGAAATGTTTTTGCACAAGTGCTATCAGATTCCTTGTCGTTAAATTTGAAAGCAGCAGCTCACGGATAAACAGCCCGTTACACGTCCGGAACAATCAACTCCCGAGCATCCGGTGACTCTGCTCTCACCACGTGTGTGCAGACACCCGGCCAGCAGCGGACTGTCAGGGACCACAGCCTTCAGCCTTGAGGGGCTCGTGTTTGTAGAGTTAAAACAGTGTTGGAATCATGTTTAATGACGGTGAGCCAGGTGTGTTTGTTACTCCAAATACAATCCTGGTCTGACCATCCTATTTACTGATTATCCTCAGTTTAACATCTTCTACTGTGTAGTATGCAAATCCCCTCTGAATTCCTACTGTCTGAACAAAATGCATGTTCTTAAGGCCAGTGGCTGTCTGACACCCTGCATTTGTGTTTAAATACAAGTGAGATGTGAGCCCCACTTGGGAATAGGTCCCAGTGAGGGCGGTCATTTCAGATACAGTGACATCCCACAAGCGGATGTGACTGTCCAATAAAACCAGTGACTGCCCTGCACTCTTTATCTTTTAACTGGAGACACCACTGTCATTGACACAGCAAGTCAACGGATGATGGTTTTCCTGGAATATTACCAAGGCTAGGTGTCCATTCCTAACTTTTGTTTTGGTGACAGCCAGTCATAGTTTTGAGAAGCTGGAGTAAGCAAATGTAATCAATTCCTCGATTACTCGAAATCATAGATTCTACTTTTGATGCTATATGTCCGATTAAAAACTTGAATGCATTGCTTAGAAAAATTATAAGAACGAGTAACAAAACAACACATCTGAGGCTGTCTGGTGGCAGTCTGTCATCACAGCAGCTGGCCTTTGCACTGGCTGTATCACTTTTCTAGGGAAAAAAAAGTGCTTTTGTTAAAGGGTCAGGTTAAATTTACCCTTTTCCCTGTTTATGAGATTTCCTTGCTGGGAGTTTTGAACCAGAATTGTGCACATACATACTGGTGTATGAGAGACTTGGCTATGCCATAAAAAAACCCAATATTTGGTGGGAAAATCTCATTAAATGCTAATCAAAATCTTCATGTTTGCTGTTCAAGGGTGTAGGTAGGGTTTATATTTTTTTTTATAATTGTCTTTTCTTCATGATTTTAATAGAATTCGGTACCTAGTAAAAATGTCCACAGAAGCTCACTACTGGAGACAAAGCATGTTAGGATCATGTACATTTAAATCAAAACTCCTTTCCATCAGATACCTCAAATATGCATTTGATAGGAAATCAAACACTTTTTACAGTTTGATGGACAGAAATATTTAGAATTTTTAAACTTCTGAGAAATCACAAAATTACTTGGAAATAGTAATCAGTACTCATTCAATATGGAAGAATTACAGATGAAATAGGACATTTCCATAGCATCTGATTAAAATAATTTGGGAACTTAGTAATTCAGGCAAGATAAATTCATACTAAATATTTAAAATATAGGATGCTTTTAAAGTATATGTTAATATACTTTTATCATAAAAGTGATGTTAGAGATTTCTTGAAACAACAGGAAACACAAAAAAGAAAATAAAATTACACCTCAACTGGCAGTATTGTGATCTATGTTTTTGTTTCCTTTTTCTGTTTCCATAAATTCGCACAAATGAACATAGACACCACCCTCTCCCTCCCCGCTGACACACACACTCGGGCAGAAAATTGACATCTAACCAAAGATACTGAATATTTTGTCTTAAAAATGTGTTTTACCCCTCTTAGCCATATAATAATACATTTTCTTCTTGTCTTTTTCAACATGACTTTCCAAAATAGTATATATTTTCCTTACATAATCACAAAAGTAATTGCTCACATTGAAAAATAATTTTTAAAAATATTAATAATACATATCACCTTGAAATGGCTAGCATCAATACTTCAGGTCCTGTTTTTTAGTGTTTTCTCCTATCTGGACGACTATAATTATCTGCTTACTTAAATGACTGGTAGCAGAACTCTAAAAAAAAATCATCCTCATGTTTTATGTTTAAAACACAACAAAAAATTTAAAATATTTATAAACAAACCAGGTACAGCTTATCTGCACTTATACGTTATTTATAAATCTAAATGTCTCCAGTTTTTTGTTTAAAGCAAAGATTTTAAGAGTCTTTTTTTCAAGGTAAAACTACTTGAAATCAAAACAATACTTTTGGGTTGGGTTCCCGTGTACCGTCTGTCACATACAAAACTGGTTTACTCTCCAAATGAAAAGAAGTATTTTTCAGTAAATCAATAAGCTCTCAACAACTGGTGCATTTAGGAGATTAGTTTGTCCTGTCAGGTGGTTGGTTCAGTGCTTACTACGTCACAATAAAAGTCATTGCATCATTCATGCAAAATTTCATTCCAGCCTATTCCAAACCCTCAGATTCCTGGCCATGAATACTATTTTTATGAAGCAAAAAAGTAACACCGGGTTAGAGGATGGTAGAATTTTGAATGTGTAGATAGACAGCTGTCATATTTAGTAATTCATTTCTCTCCTGAGGAAGTTTACTTGGTGTAAAAACAAAGACATATTAGGCGACTCTCCGACTAATGACACTTGTGAGAAGCCTAAGTATTGTCATGCTGGGGGTGCTCTGTTCTGATTTTCCGTGTTCCGTGTAGATTGTTGGGATTGAAACAGTAATCTACATTCAAGCCGCTAATTGTGGTCGAGGCAGCGCTCTCGTACTGTTGACTTTAAAGGAAACCCCAGCCCCCACCAATCTGAGTGATGAGCAAGCAGCCTGCAAGGAAACCTGCGGTGGCAGCCAGCTCATGCCAGCGCTGTGGTCCAGGGCCCACACTGGTCTCCAGTTAACGGCTGACAAGAAGGAGACAAGTCCACAGCAGCAGCCCTCTCCACGCACTCCCAGCAGAACCTCCCTGATTTGCCGAACACACCCCTTCCTCCCTGGCACTCAGTCTGCTTACTCCCACCTCGGGGCAGCGGCCCCTCCTTAAGCTCCTCCACTTTGTCAAAGCTCCAGTCAGAACCCGCCTCCTGCCGGGTGGGGAAGGGGCTGGGGAGGGATAAACTGGGAGTTGGAGATTTGCAGATACTAACTAACACGTACAAAGTAGGTAAACAAGTTCATACTGCATAGCTCAGAGACCTGTAGTCAACATCTTGTAGCAACGTGTGGTGAGAAAGAGCAAGAAGATGAATATATGTTTGTTCACACCTGACTGAAGCACTGCGCTGCACCCCAGAAACTGACACAGCATTGTAAACTGACAACTCGTCAGTAAAAACACATGTATACAAAGAAATCAAAAAGAGGAAACCTTAGAAAGAAAACCTATCAACTGCATTTGACATACTCAGTTTTGACTATATTCTTAATATAAACCTTTCTGTAAACTTGTTTGCTTTTCCCCTCAAAGCCCTTCAGTGATCTCAGGAGCTTCAGCACGCCCCTTGCTCTCCTGTGCTGCGAAGGAAAGCTGCGTGCTCTGTAACTCACCTCCCCACGTGGCAAAGCCCTGTGAACGGGAGTTCACGGACTGGACGGCTGAACTACAGTAAACTAGACCAAAGCAAAAGTCTCTGAGCCTTACTTTTACTAACCCAGGCTCACCAGGAATTAATAAAATACTCATTTTCATTGAACATTTCATATGCTACACACTTTCAGAAAGTTTGCATATGAGATACTACATAATGCTCGGAATGTATTTGGGAGTCAGAGAAGGCTTTTTATCAACTCTTATAATTAGGGGCTGGGTTTTACAGCTGGCAGTTTTAAAATCGGGACAGTGTGCTCTAACACGGCGACTAAGTCAGCGTGCGAACAGTGACGAACTGGCATTACCTGAAGTTTTTCTAGCTCTTTAAGCCACAGATCATGAAGTTCCTGTGCCATTTACAGTTTAAATAACACTCTGTGTGAGGCTCTCGCTGTGCCAGGATAAATCACAGCTCACTAGTCATATCTCACATGTTGATTTCATGAAGAAAGTAAGAGTAAACACAGGTAAAATGTCTGCAGTTATTCACACATGTGACAATCTATCAAATTAAGTAGCCGAGAGTAATCACCGCCGCACCCGATGCTCTACGCTCACCTGCAGCAAACCAAGCGTGGCACCTCCGAGACCTCCCGTGCAACAGTTACGTGGCTTGACCTACACTAAGTGTTCCCATGTCTTCTAGTAGAGATTTTATGTTAGAATTTGGAGAAAAAGAAGGGTCTTATTCCTGTTCCTGAAATTCTGAATTCTGACATATAAAGTTATGACTAGGACTGTTATTTTAAATGTTAGCTATAAGTAGACTATAATTATTAAGTCAGTGCAATAAAAAAATGAATGAAGCTGGGTTTTGGAGTTTAAATCTAGACTCCACTTGATTTCAGGCATCACTGTATTTAGATGTGGGCGCCTGGTAAATGTTTAGTAAATATTACGCCCACCAGTCTTCTACTCTCCTAGTAATACTGTTCTTCTTGGAAAAGCCAGACAGATGTGCTACCCCAGGTCACTTAGATGCCAAGCTTGGAAGCTCACGTGGCTCTGGGCTGGCAGCCCCGGGGGTGTAAGAAGCTGGCAGTGACGGTGCTGTGGCTCTAGCCCGGGTGCAAGATCAAATACTGCCTCTTCTTCCTCCTCTTATTTGCATGTTGACTCTTGCAGCAACGGCGCCGTCACCTGCGTGTCCCGGCACGTGGGTGCCGGCCAAGTCAATGAAGAAGAGCTGACGGACTATTCTGAGTGGGCCTGTCAGCCAGCTCGTCAGTGACTAGCTTAGACCCTAGTGGAATGAAGATCCAGGATTCTGGTCAGGTGTCTGGAGTGTTACAGAACCACCTCCGTTTAAAGTCTGTGATCATTTTCAATCTGGACTTCTGGTTTTCAAAAAATACTCACAGAAAGGAGAACTGACTTTGGGCGTGGCGCCCACTCAGCGGGCTGGGAGCAGGGCCCTCCTGCCCTGCAGGCGCTCCATGAGCTGCGGTGGGCGCCACCTCCAGCAGCCTGTGAGCTCCCTGGACCTCGGCCTCACCTCATGTTCCTTTGAATTGTCACCTGTACACACCAGGTGACCTAGTGGAGGTGGTGAATAAAACTTCCTTGAACGAGACAAGTTGGGTCAGGGCACAGCAGTGTATCCATTTTGAACGAACTGGCTCTAAGGGCAAGATCTAAATTATAAAAACAGTAAGAAAAAGGGTAAAGCTTGAGTAAATTTGACCTGCTTTCTCCTGGCTTTATTAGGACTTGTTCAGCACCCTGATATATGCAAAAGAAACCCCAATTGGATGCCAACTGTTTTCAGAAATAATTAACTTTTTGCTGAAACCTCCTGAGTATAGGAAGTACCAGCCTCCTACCAATAGCGAAATATTCCAGAAACTGTGTATAGCGACGTATTATCTGAAGTACCACGCACTGTGCTGGCTCCCATCTCTCCTCCCCTCAAAGGCGGCCGTGGGGGTGGGCAGGGCGGGCACAGGTGCAGCTGGACACACTTGTCTCTCACACACACTCACTCTGGCATGCTCCTCTCCCATGTTTCAGCAGGAACGAAATTAAAATGCACCATCAGACGTTTAAAATGGTTCAGGTCGTTTACTAACACCTTCAGTTTGGGATCTGCAGATACTAACTCCTACATACAAACTGGACAAACAGCCAGGTCCTCCTGTGCAGCACAGGGAACCTTACTCACTATCACCAGAACCTCCCAGGGAGGATGCTGTGAAACGGAAGACGTACGTGTCAGTGGATTGCTGCGCCGTACACTGTAAATTAACGCACTGTAAATCGACAACACGTCCGTCAGTAAATACCTTCAGTCTGCAGGCAAGCGTTTCGAGTGAAAGGGCAGAGTCTTTTACACCGACCAGCACAGCACGCACCCTGGGTCTTCCTTCATCTCTTTCTGTTCGAAGAGCAAGGAAGGGAGATCTGTGGGGCTTTAGCCTTCAGGTGTGTTTTTTAAAAGTTCATTATTACGCTATGTGAGAGTCAAAATGTATGAGTCTGATGATTAGGAAGAAAATAAGGCTTTTTTTGTCTATCAAGACATCCTCAGTTTTCTTTATATGTTACGGAAATGACAGGCCAGCCAAGAAACAAGCACCACTCGGAGGGTTGGAGTACTCAGATTTATTACGCCGGCGGGCTCAGAGGGGCTTCTGCTCCGAAGCTCTGAGCACCTCCAAGACGTGCACATGAGGTTTTATAGGGTTAATAACAACTATGGGGCTATTAG